CCCCACGCCCCTTCTCCTGGCCACACCGTGGAGCCGGAGGTGGACAGAGGCCACGCCAGAGACCAGCTGTAGCTCCCGCGCCTGGGCGGAGGGCCCGGAAACCCTCGGACCAGAGTATGTGGAGGAGGCGCCTGCGTGGCGGCCCTGGCACTGCAGAGACTGGTCCGGGCTGTCAGGAGGCGGCAGGGGGCAGCGCTGGGCCTCGTGTGGGTTGTCGTCCGTCCTGTGGGCGCTCTGCCCCGTGTCCTTTGCGTTCCTCATTAAGCAGAAGTCAGTAGTTATTCTGCCACGAACCTTCTCGTCTGTGTAGTTTTTAGAACATTGCAAAGGATCTGTTTGCTTCGCTGTCAACAAAAAGAAAACCTGACGCAGCATTCGGAAGTCAGTTTGAGGGTTTTTTTAGTTGTGGTTTGTTTGTTTGTGTTTTTTATGTTGGAACGTGCCCCGGAATGAGGCAGTTGGCAAACTTCTCAGGACAATGAATCCTTCCTGTTTTTCTTTTTATGCCACACAGTGCATTCTTTTTTCTACCTGCTTATTTTTAGAATAATTTAAAAAAACAAAATGAAGGCTGTTTTTCCTAATTTTGGCATGAACCCCCCGCCTTGTGCCAAATGAAGACGGCATCACGGAGCAGCTCCAAGAGGAAAAGCTTGGGCATGCCCAGCATGCCCGCTGCCCATCGACGTCTGTCCTAGGGACGTGGAGGGTGCCCAGCGTCCCAGCCCGCACCAGTGCCGTCCTACTGATGTGGTAGGCTAGCAATATTTTGGTTAAAATCATGTTTGTCACTGTAACCATTTGTAGGAATTAAAGAAATAAAAACCCCGGAAAAAGAGAAAAAAAAGAGAGAGAGAGACAGTGAGGCTACTGAGCAGAGTGGCCTCAGGCAGTGGCCTCAGAGAACCACCTGCAGCCCTCAAGAGCGGCTTGGCCACTGCAATACAGGACACAGCCAACTGGGTGGGCTGGGCCCAGGCCAAGTTGATGCTGAGACAATGGAACTTGCACCAGAGATCCAGAACCCTGGAAGGAGTGGACCCCTCAGCCAACACCAGCGTGGAGGGCTGAGTAGGCACAAGAGAAGACTCTCATGGTGTGGCCAGAGTGAGCCGGAGGACCCGGACTCAGGCCCCCATGCCGCTCTACCTCTGCCATCCTCATTCAGGACTAAATCCATATTGAGCTCCTGGTGTGTGACGTCTTACTATTTCACAGAGTAGACAGACAAAAGCAGTCCACTGTTGGCCGAGCGCGGTGGCTCATGCCTGTAATCCCAGCACATTGGTAGGCTGAGGCAGGCAGATCACCTGAGGCCAGGAGTTCGAGACTAGCCTGGCCAATATGGCAAAATCCTGTCCCTCTAAAAATATAAAAATTAGCTGGGTGAGGTGGTGGGTGCCTGTAATCCCAGCCTACTCAGGAGGCTGAGGTGGGAGAATCACTTGAACCTGGGAGGCGGAAGTTGCAATGAGCCAAGAAGGCGCCACTGCACTCCAGTCTAGGCCACAAGAGTGAGACTCTATCTCAAAACAAAAAACAACAACAAAAATTCCACTGTCAAGATGGCAGCGTGACCACATGCTACGTCTCTTTCTTCTATAGAACATCATTAGACATAGTAAAAAAAAAAACAGAAGGCAGAGCATGCAGTGAGCCAAGATTGCACCACTGCACTCCAGCACTCCAGCCTGGGCGACAGAGCGAGACTGCTTTAAAAAAAGAAAAAAACACCTAACTAGACATCACCAGAAAAAAAACTTAACACTCCACTTCCTCTTGTGAATGTAAGTACAAAATTACCAAATGAACTATGAGCAAGCCCATCTCAACCACATATAAAATGATATTAATCATATATCACAACAAAGTTGATTTAATTCCAGAAATGCAATGTTAAATCATTCAAAAGCCAAACACTATTAAGTTACCTTATCAGCATAAAAAGACAAGAAAAAAATTGCTCAATCACAAAAGAAAAAAGCAATTGACAAAATTCAGTGCCTATTCATAAATCTTAAAACCTATCTAACAGAGAGGAAGCAACATGCCCAGTTACACACCACAGCAGCTGAGAGTAGTGACATAACTTACTTGCAGCCAAAAGATGAAAATTGCAAGCTGGGCACATTAGCTCATGCCTCTAATCCCAGCACTTTGGGAGGCAGAGGAGGGCAGATCACGAGGTCTGGAGTTTGAGAAAATCCTGGCCAACATGGTGAAACCTGGTCTCTACTAAAACTACAAAAAAATGAGCCGGGCATGGTGGCACGCACCTGTAATCTCATCTACTTGGGAGGCTGAGGCAGAAGAATCGCTTGAACCACAGGGGCGGAGGTTGTTACAGTGAACCAAGATCGCATCACTGCACTCCAGCCTGGCAACAGAGCAAGAATGAGTTTTAAAAAAACAAAACAAAACAAAACAGATGAAAATTGAATTGCAGTATACTCTTAAAATTTGTGAGAAATCTATGTTTTTCAGCTAAAAAGAGACAGACTCAGCCTTTTGACCTTTCCTCTTTCCCTCCCTGGAAGGCAATCCAAGGCCTGGAAAAACAGCAGCGACACTAACTACAAGAATAAAAACATGATTGGCCGGGCGCGGTGGCTCAAGCCTGTAATCCCAGCACTTTGGGAGGCCGAGACGGGCGGATCACGAGGTCAGGAGATCGAGACCATCCTGGCTAACACGGTGAAACCCCGTCTCTACTAAAAATACAAAAAACTAGCCGGGCGAGGTGGCGGGCACCTGTAGTCCCAGCTACTCGGGATGCTGAGGCAGGAGAATGGCGTAAACCCGGGAGGCGGAGCTTGCAGTGAGCTGAGATCCGGCCACTGCACTCCAGCTCGGGCGACAGAGCAAGACTCCGTCTCAAAAATAAATAAATAAATAAATAAATAAATAAATAAATAAATAAATAAATAAAAACATGACTAAGGAAGTATTAGGAAACTGTAAAGAACCCTGGACTACCTTCCTCTGCACATTTTAAGTGACAAACATGAAATCTGTATTTCTTTAAGTCACTGAACCAGATTTATTTTTTCTATGACTACATGTAGCCCTAAACGATGTATTAAATACTAAAATACATACTGAAATACTAAAATTTTGGTCTTGAACTCCTGACCTCAGGTGATCCACCTGCCTCAGCCTCTGAAAGTGCTGGGATTACTGGCATGATCCACCACACCCGGCTCAAAAGCTTTGTGTTTTTAAACATTAGATATGTTTCTTGGTTTTTTGTTTAAAAAAAAAATCATAATAATATAGGAGAAAAAGAGAAATCATTGTGATTATTTTATCTTATTGGAATGTTGGATAATATAGTCTGCTTCATTAATCATCAAGAACACTGTAAATTTTCCATTTTCATTGGATTTGTACCTCAATTAAGGTGATAAAGTTTTAAAGTTTTTAAAGTGAAAGCCAGCACCACCCCTCTCCTGGAGTGGGTGGGAACAGCAGTCGCATGGGCGGCCTTCCATGTGACATCACAGGTCCTTCATGACACGTGGCTGCCTGGCCCCGCCTCCCTTCCCTTTCATCTTTCTGACCAATGGGCTTCAAGCATTAAGGCCACGCCCCTATTCTGCATTCTAGTGTGGCCCTGGTTATGCCTCCTCTGGCTCAGTCACACAGCTGTGTGGTACGTGACTGGAGGTGTATCGGTGTACTCATCTGGATCACGCCACTGTGGCCCCAACCCCACTTCCCTCCCCACCCCATGATGTCAGAAGAAAACAGAGAGAGAAAATTGGCTGAGGCCAAGAAAAAGGTAAAACGCAGAGGGTTGTGGCACCCCAACCCAAACCCAGCCCCAGGCCCCCTCAGACAGCAGAACAGCTGCCAGAGTTCGTGCCACTCCAGAGGCACACCAGGCTCGGTCCTCCCAGTGACTCTGGGCTCCCTTAACCAAAATCTTCTCAGCCAGGCCCACCCCCTCAGCAGTCCTGCCGCTGCCCTCGCCAGTGACCCCAGGGTGACTTTGAGCCGGTGACTCCTAGGGCTCCCCACTCTGTACTCCACCCTCACCTCCTACTACCCCAAAACTGACCTCCCTGGGCCCTTTGGGCTCACGTCTCCAAGGACCTGGGTGCCCCTGCACCTGCCCTCACCAGTCGACCCAGGGTGACTTTGGGCAGGTGACTCCTGGGGCTCCCCACTCCATACTCGGCCCTCACCTCCCACCGCCCCAAGCCCGACCTCCCTGGGCTCTTTGGGCTCATGTCTCCAAGGACCTGGGTCCCGACCCTGCGAACCCCTCCCCAATCTCAAAGAGGCAACTTGGGCATAGCACTGATGTGTCCCTGGTCCCCCACCACCGCATGGAGGAGTGGAATGTAGTGACGTCACAGTCCCTCTAGGAACCATCATTACTGCCGCGAGGCAGGCCTTTGATCTTAGGACCCGCACCCTAAGTGTTTTTGCCCCTTTTCTGGTTCCTCTGGTTGCAGCACAGATTTCCAGCTGGAAGAAGAGGAGGGACGATGTGACCTAGGAGCGAGAAGTTTCGGGCTGCCTTAGTCCCTTAACACAGACATTGACCGTCTGACAAGGCTACACCTCCCCTGTGAACTCAAATGTTCACAGTGTCTCTGGGTGACAATGGGAGAACGAGTTTGGTTTGGTTTTTTCCCAGGCTTCTACTCTCCAAAGATACTTTAGCCATTTTTTTCCAAGTTCTACACCTCATATTTGAATTCTCCATGGTTCTGGGACCACAGGTCCCATCAGTCAGTGGTCTCTGAAGTGAGATTTGCTCATCTTCTGTGGAATAGATCTTAGGAAACTGAACTTGACAACTCAAATCTTCCTCATCTCATCTCAACCTGGGGTACTTTGAGTGCCACAGGATAAAAATGGGGCATCTTTCTGAAGCATACAGTTTTCCCTTGATTCTTTTGAAAGAGACAAAAGATTAATGCTCTTGGGATGATAGTCACATAGATTTCTAAGAGTATACCAGACTTCTCTCTGAAATGAAGCTTGGGTTGTCCTCTGTTAAATTCCCAGATTTAACAGAAAAGCTGGCTTCTGCCCTGATGTAAAAGTTTGAGAGGTAGTGGTGTACTTCTTCACACTAACAGACATGTGAGGATATATGACTCTAAATCACACAGTGTGTACTTTCCTGCCTACTTTTTACTTTTCTACCTCTGCCTCTGGTTTTGGTCCCTGGAAACTGCCGATTTGTGGCAAAACCCCAGAGCTCAGAGTCAGAAGACTGAGTTTAAGGTCCATTATTGCCTTTTTTTTTCTGCCACAGTATTGATCCCTCTCAGTCGTGATTTTGACAACACCTCGTACAGTTGTTGGTGGCATTAAATCAGATCATCTACGAGAGTATGTTGTATAAACTGTAAACTGACTGTAGGACCTTGGAGTTCTCATGAGTATCACTGCTCTTCTTTTCTACAGTTTAGAGGCTATCATCAGTGGAACAATGCTGGTGTTGGTACCGGAGGAACCGACACCAAAAAGAAAATAAATAATGGCACTAACCCTGAGACAACCACTTCTGGTGGTTGCCATTCACCTGAGGATGTGAGTCTTGGTTGGCTGGTCTCCTGAGGTCAGGGGCACGAGGGGCGGGTAGAAGGTAACTGTTAAGATTGTGGAAGGAAGAACTGCCGGGTACTGGTTAAGAATTCTGGGTTTGGCCGTGCGCGGTGGCTCAAGCCTGTAATCCCAGCACTTTGGGAGGCCAAGACGGGAGGATCACGAGGTCAGGAGATTGAGACCATCCTGGCTAACATAGTGAAACCCGGTCTCTACTAAAAAATACAAAACACTAGCCAGGCGAGGTGGCGGGCGCCTGTAGTCCCAGCTACTCGGGAGGCTGAGGCAGGAGAATGGCGTAAACCTGGGAGGTGGGGCTTGCAGTGAGCTGAGATTCGGCCACTGCACTCCAGCCTGGGCGACAGAGCGAGACTCCGTCTCAAAAAAAAAAAAAAAAAAAATTCTGGGTTTGAATCCTACCCCTCCATCTACTAGGAACATGATTTACGGCAAATTGCTTGAGCTCTTTGGGCCTCTCTTTTCACATATATAAAATAGGGATGGTGGCCGGGCGTGGTGGCTCACGCCTGTAATCCCTGCACTTTGGGAGGCCGAGACAGGCGGATCACGAGGTCAGGAGATCGAGACCATCCTGGCTAACACGGTGAAACCCCGTCTCTACTAAAATACAAAAAATTAGCCGGGCGCGGTAGCGGGCGCCTGTAGTTCCAGCTACTCGGGAGGCTGAGGCAGGAGAATGGCGCGAACCCGGGAGGCGGAGTTTGCAGTGAGCCGAGATGGTGCCACTGCACTCCAGCCTGGGCGACAGAGTGAAGACTCTGCCTCAAAAAAAAAAAAAAAAAAAATAGGGATGGTAATGTTTTACTTATATTTGTGAGGTTTGAATCAGATTTGTTATTGTTGTTGCTTTTGTGTTAATCCCTAGGCCAGGGCCTGCTGTAAACTCCTCTCCTCTTTTGGACTTGCGTTTCCTGAGGAGGTCGAGTTATAAGAGTATCACAGGTTTCTGTTTGCTCTGAGAGTCTGAGATTTAAAGATTCACTAGAATGGAAACCTCGGGGCCAAGGGCTTCTGTCTGCCTTTTCCGTCCTGTATCCCAGCTGTCCCATATCCCAGCTGTGAAGAACCGTCCCTGGCCTGTATGTGCTTGGTCAATGTTTGCTGAATGAATGCACCTTTCTAAATCACAAGCTGGCAGAAGGGTGGGCTTTTCTCACACTCCATCTCTGAAGGTTTATGTTAGTGTCTTTTCCAGAGAATCTAGTTTCAGCCTTTCAGTTCTGTGGCTGTGGGCAAAAACCAACAAAGACCCAAATCCATTTTTTTTTTGGCAGTTGAGAGTTGACCAGTTCGTGTTCCCATTGGGTCTGATAACTTTGCATTTAAAATCCATCCCTGGCCCCTGCCTACCGCTTCCTGACTTGAGGAATAGAGTCGAGGGGGCCACCCTCAGTCACCTCCCTTCGACTCTCCCCACAGAAACAACCGAACTGAGCTCAGCTGGAAGAAGTAACATGATTTGTTTGCTCACAACATGATTGCTGGGTTTGGGGGGCACTCAGATGTAGAGGCCCCAGTCTCGCCTGGCCCACTCCCAGACTGGGGAAGGCTCACCCCCCAGATTCCACCCCATCCCCACAGGGTCCCTGATAACCTGGCCCCGTGGATGGGCCTGTCCTGGGGCAGTGGTGCCGTTCTGGGAGCATCTCTTGCTGTGCCATCTCTGCCTTCCCCTAGTAAGAGCTCTGTCTTCCTCTTCCTATAGGAAAAGGCGGCAAGCCACCATCAGGAAGCCCTAAGGAGGGAGCTAGAGGTGAGTGGAGGGGGTGAAGTTCCCTCCTGTCCTCTGGAGGTTTCTTTGCTTCTCTTTCAGCACTTGCTTGTCTTTTCTTCCAAAGACCCAGGATCATACTATACGAATCCTTACGAGTCAGAAGACTGAACTGGAGACAGGGCTCTACTACAGCCAGGAGGCTGCCAGGAAATGTGAAGGTGGGAATCTGGGCACCCGGTCATCCTTCAACCTGGCACTTTCACAGGCCTTTAGGGGGAGTCCTTTGTGCCACATCTCAACCTCTCTCGTTCCAGGAGAGTCCAAGGATCTGGCCGGTCGCCTGCATCGTTCCTGGCACTTTGCAGGAGAGTTACAGCAGGCTCTGTCTGCTGTGTCCACACAGCACAAGAAGGCGGACAGGGTGAGTCCAACCACCTGCTCGGTCCCCTGGGAGCCCAGTTTCACAGATGGAGGAATGAGCCTAAAGGTCCCTTCTGCACAATGCAGTGTCCTGCCCAGAAGGCAGCATGGGCCATTTAGTACTGCGTTTGGGTGTGGATATTAGAGGCAGGTTGGGGCTGAGTCGGCTGCTGTGGGTTAGCTGCAGGGTGCTGTGGGGAACGAGCACCGGACACAGAGCTCCGAGGCCAAGAGCCCACCCTGCCCATACGTGGCTGTGGCCTTTGCTAAGTCCTAGGCAGGGGTTAGTGTACTTGTACCATGAAGGTACAGAAGAGTATCTTTAGAATGTTACCATTTGTGTAGAGAGAGGGAACAAACGTACATGTGTGTGGCTACGTATTATGCTAATATACCTAAAACATATGTGTAAGGATTCATGAAAAACTCAGGAGACAGGAACAGTGTGCATGGGAGGTATTTCCCTTCTGTACCTTCTGAGTTTTGGACTACGCCAATGTATCATTCTTTCAAAGAGTCAACAAAGGATTAATTTCCTCCTTCTTATCTGTGCCCTACCCCCAGCGAAGGAATGGGCTTACAGAATCAGATATACCTGGGTGTTGAAAGCCCAGCTCTGTCTAAGTGATCTTAGACAACCCCTTACCCTTCAGTACCCCATGTTTTTCATCTACACAATAGAGGTGATAATGGTAACCGTCTCCTATGGAGGTTGCGAGGATTGAATGGGTTTGTTAGTGCAGTGCCTGGTGAAGCACTCAAAGGTTCTGACAGTGGGAGTAGTAACAGTAATAACAACAGCAATCTTATCTGATCTCTCTGGGCCCCTGTCAGCCAGCTATCAATTCCATCTCTTTCCCTGTCCCTTACACCCTTACTGAGTTCTTTGAAAAACAAGTGAGAGACGGGTGCGGTGGCTCACACCTGTAATCCCAGCTACTTGGGCGGCTGAGGCAGGAGAATCGCTTGAACCCGGGAGGCGGAGGTTGTGGTGGGGTGAGATTGCAACATTGTACTCCAGCCTGGGCGGCAAGAGCCAAACTCCATCTGAACAAAAAGAAAAAAAGAAAAAAAGAAAAAGAAGAAAAACAAATGAGACCCTGGGCTTGGAAGTGCCTTGAGAGCATGTTAGGTGTGACTGGGAGTGGGGAGTGGTGTGTGGAGTGGTCACTGTGGCTGTTGTTCCTGGTCAGCCAGCCGCTCCTCTGCCTGCTCTATCCTGACTTCACCTTTCTCTATTTGCAGTACATCGAGGAGTTAACAAAGGAGAGGGACGCCCTGAGTCTGGAACTGTACAGGAACACGTAGGATGGGGGAAGGTGGAATGGGAGGTCTGTGGGCCCTCAGCATGGGGGGTGTGCTGGGAGGTGGGGGTACAGGTGAGCATGGTGAGAGGCTCATACAGGTTTTCATGTGTGCGCGGGGAAGCTCTAGTGCCGGCTGTGCCACTGACTCATGGGGTAGCCTCAGGCAACTCATGTCTTCTCTCTAGCCTGCCACCTGCGACTTTTAGTTCCTGGGGTCCCTTCCAATGCCACAGTTCTGTTGTGGGGCGAAGGTACAGGGTTGATCACCAAAGCAGTCCTTTCTGTTCTTAATTCATTCCTTTCTCCATGGCCTCCGGTCACAGCATAACCAACGAGGAGCTGAAGGCGAAAAATGCCGAACTACAAGAAAAACTTCGACTTGTAGAATCTGAGAAGTCTGAGATCCAGCTCAACGTAAAGGAGCTAAAAATGAAGCTGGAGAGGGACAAAATCCTGCTGCCACAGGTAAGAGACTGCAGCCCCCGCGGTTGTGAAAGCTCCACCCAGCTGGGACCATGGTCTAGGGATCATGCAGGGTATAGGGAGGGTCCAGCCAAGAGCTGGAAAATTTGGGTCCTTGTTCTGATCCCACCATAGAATCATCTAGAGTGTGTTAAAAATCTATAAATTAGGGCCCTGCCAGGGGAATCAGAACCTCAGGGTTAGGGCTTAAATTTTTTTTTAAAGAATCATAGATGAAAACCGTTATTTTATAGATTACATTTATATAGCTAGCTCATGAGTCTATTTCCTTTTGAGGTTGAAACCAACACTTTGCAGGAGGAGAAGCTGCAGGAGCAGGAGAAGAAGATATGGGAGCAGGAGGAGAAGATACGAGAGCAGGAGGAGAAGATGTGGAGACAGGAGGAAAGGCTGTGGGAGAAGGAGAAGGAGCTGCGGGAGCAGGAGAAGCAGATGCGGAAGCAGGAGGAGCAGATGTGGAAGCAGGAGGAGAAGATGTGGAGACAGGAGGAGAGGCTGTGGGAGCAGGAGGAGCAGATGCACGAGCAGGAGCAGAAGATGCGGGAGCAGGAGGAGAAGATGTGGGAGCAGGAGGAGAAGATGTGGAGACAGGAGGAGAGGCTGCAGGAGCAGGAGCAGGAGCTGCACGAGCAGGAGAAGCAGATGCACGAGCAGGAGCAAAAGATGAGGGAGCAGGAGGAGAAGATGTGGAGACAGGAGGAGAGGCTGCGGGAGCAGGAGCAGGAGCTGCGGGAGCAGGAGAAGCAGATGCACGAGCAGGAGCAGAAGATGCGGGAGCAGGAGGAGAAGATGTGGGAGCAGGAGGAGAAGATGTGGAGGCAGGAGGAGAGGCTGCGGGAGCAGGAGGAGGAGCTGCACGAACAGGAGGAGCAGATGCACAAGCAAGAGCAGAAGATGAGGGAGCAGGAGGAGAGGATGTGGGAGCAGTACCAGAGGCTGCGGGAAAAGGAGGAGAGGATGCAGGAGCAGGAGGAGAAGATGCAGAAGCAGCAGGAGATGTGGGAGCAGGAGGAGAAGATGCGAGAGGAGGAGGAGGAGAAGATGTGGGAGCAGGAGGAGATGTGGGAGGAGATGATGATGCGGGAGCAGGAGGAGATGATGCGGGAGCAGGAGAAGATGCGAGAGCAGATGGAGAAGATGAAGGAGCTGGTGGAGATGATGCAGGAGCAGCAGAGGCTGCCAGAACAGGAGGAGGAGCTGTGGAAACAGGAGAAAATGCAGGAGCAGGAGGAGAAGATGCAGGGGCAGGAGGAGAAGATGCGGGAGAAGGAAGAGAGGATGCGAGAGCAGGAGGAGAAGCTGCCAGAGCACAAGGAGAGGTGCTCAGCGCCCTGCGTCCCTCCCTCCAAAGATCTTTGTGATACAAGCCACGCTAGCAGCATGGCGTCTGCGCGAGGAGAGGCCGGGGACGGTTCTCCCCACGACAGCCCCACTGCACAGGTCGTGCAGCTGCCTTGTGGGATGAAGAACGCCCAGGAGCGCCCAGGCTTAGGCAGCAACTCCTGCATCCCATTCTTCTACCGAGGAGACAAGAAGATGAAGATCATCGACATCTAAGAGCCGGCACTGTCAACAAGGCCTACGGAAGTGTTAGCCACCATGTCACTGTGTGAATATAGTCTGAGAATAAACTTGAAAAAAAGAAAAAGAAAATTTATGTTAAATTGTGATAAAATACTGGCCGGGCACGGTGGCCCACACCCGCAATTCCAGCACTTTGGGAGGCCTAGGCGGGTGGATCACCTGAGGTCAGTAGTTCAAGACCAGCCTGGACAACATGATGAAACCCCGTCTCTACTAAAAACACAAAAGTTAGCCGGGCATGGTTGCGCACGCCTGTAATCCCAGCTACTTGGGAGGTTGAGGCTGCAGTGAGCCGAGATCACGCTACTGCACTCCAGCCTGGGTGACAGAGCGAGACTCCATCTCAAAAAAAAAAAAGTTTCTACCTGAGGACAATAATATCTATGTATGTTTGCATTGTCTTTTTGCTTGGTCTTTCTTGTTTAGTCTTGTGTTGTCTTGTCTTACGGCGTTCCTAGGAAACTGTCACCTGCCTCCAGAGAGGATTGACCTTTTTTTTTTTTTTTTTTT